ATCGATACTGAGATCGATTGATTGAGATGGATGGTGAGATGAATAATGACATCGAGAGAGAGGTCGAACAGGAATCCGGGACCACCCCCCAAAAAAAAACCGGGAACACCGTCGCCCATCGAACCCCGCCGCCCACCGAAATCGGCCCCGAACCAGACACCGAGAACCCGGGACCCGGAAACGGGAACTTGAGAACCCGGCACCTACCGCAATCGGTCTGGAATGTTCGCCAAATCTTTCAATATCCGCGAGGTCCTGTTCAGTGCAAGCACTGATTGGCGAGCTGGGTTTCCGCCCGCCTCCTGAAGAGGAGGGAAGGAGGGAAAACCACTAGACTCTTGAAACAGGAAGGCGGCTAAAGCTGATTGGAATACGGGAATCCAAAAATACCTACTTTCAACGGCAGATGGGTATGCATCTGACGCAGCGCACCTGGCACGCGTGGCGCACCTCGCGAGCGTCGCGCATCTGGTGTTTGGAGTCCCGAAACGGTGCGGTGACAGACCATGCGGTGACCTCGGAACCCCAAGAGACCTCACCGCACGGTCCGTCACCGCACGGTTTTGGGACCTCGGATGCCCCAGTCGCCCGAGACGTCCTCGGAGAACGACCCGAGTCCCAAAACCGTGCGGTGACCCGAATCCCCACCGACTCGACGCACGGTGTGGTCACCACCCCGTTTGGGGACCCCCGATGGTGCCTGTAGTCGCTACCCGGTTACCAATGGCTGTCTGTCCGATGGCGGCCTCTGCCATGCTGATTCTCCTCCCCCGTCCCCAGGTCGCCGTCGTTGCGTATCTGGTTGACGGAGTCCATGCCTTTGCGCTGCAGGAAGGCGCTCGTGCGGCTCGCCCGTACCTCCAGGACCATGGGGAGGAGGCCAGAGGGGATGGGGGAAGACGGGGCGGAGGAGGAGGAGGAAGAGGAGGAGGAGGAGGAGGATGAGGAGGAGGAGGAGGAGGAAACGGCTCAAGGCCCCGCCTAGCCAGGTGTTCTGGCCTTCGTGGGGTCCCAGAAGAGAAGCGCCTGCCCTGTCAGGGGTGACCCTTCGTGACCTTTGATCTCACACTGCCACATATCGCCTGACACATTTTGCGTACCGCCTTCAGGATGGCATCATCACACAGGCATCCCTGTTCTCGCTCGCGCCGATGGCCGACGGCGTGCTGGCACTCGCCAAGTGCGAGGCATGCGGTTGCGGGAAAAACCAACGCTGGTGGAAGCGGTGCAAGAACTACCGTGGACCGCTCATATGGGGGACGAAAAGTTACATAAACATAAACGCTCGGAGGTCCGCGCGGAATTCTCGGATCGGCGCTCGACTACCTTCCCTGGCGCGCGGAGCGCGCCTCTGGCGGCGCCGGAGGCGCCACCAGAGGGCTCCAGCGCGGATCCGAGAAATCCGCGCGGACCTCCGAGTTCTTCGCTCCCCTAGCTCATCCCTAGCTCATCCCCTGGCTCATCCCCATGTTTATGGCATTCTTCGTTCCCCTAGCTCATCCCGCTTGAGCAGCCCCCTCACCAAACTCATACCCCTCGCGGCGCTCGCTCTCCCGCGCAGCAGCCGCCGTGGCGGAGGCAGCACCACTGGGGGGCCCGAGCTCGGGGGCCGCGGGACGTCCAGGGGCCCGCTCCAGCAGCCGCATCTCCCTCCATGTTCGCCCTCGGGTCGCGGGTGCTCGAACGCAGTGCGGCCCCGAAGAGAGCAGGCTCGCCCAACTGGCTGCCCTGCTCGATGGCTCGGACGACGGCACTGCAGCAACGGCGTATCAAGCCAAGCTCGGCGAGCATCGGACATCGAATCATGACTCGGAGGTGTCCGTGACGCTGGCCAGGAGTGCACACGGCCGCGCCAAGGTCAAGCTTCGAAGGAGCATCAAGACTTGCGAGCAGCTCCAGAAGCAAGTGCGGAGGCGCAGACCGAAATGGAGAATGGTTCGAAAGCCCTCAGCCTGGCGCGCACCAAGTACCAGTCCGCAATGCGACGTTTAAACAATCGTCATCGAGGGCGAAGCCAAGCCAGCGCCCCCCAACTGGACTTGGCCACGCTGCTGAACGGCTCGGAGCTGGAGCCGGACGACGGCGGCCTCTTCGCACTGGAGCAGCTTGAGGATGTGGTCGATCCCGTGCACAGCGCAGGAAGATTTCGATCTGGCAGCTCGAGGCATTGAAAGGAACGCCGGAGGGTACCCATGAAGCATCACCGTGGAAGGGGGGCAGGTCCAGCACTGGCCTGCTGGCACTGCGCGAGGAGTTCGAGTGCAACCCCGACGACGACATTCTCATCAGCCGGACCAGTACCTGGGAGCGCGACTACATGGGAAGAAACTCAAAGAGGCAGAGATCAATCTCAAGAACCTTCCACGGCAGCATCAGATGAAGAACGACGAGGCGCTGAAGAGCAAGTGGCTGAAGTGGGCTTCGCACGACACGGTCGAGTCTAACCTCATGCCCGTGAGAATAAAAACTAGGGGATAATAAAGTTCGGGGTTCAGGGAGAGATAATAAAAGTAGCCCAGCAGACCTCAGCATAATCTCGAAGTAAGAGATGATCAAGAGGAGACCAAGCCGAGCACGTTTTGAGACATCCTTGGCGTTTAGTTTTCATAGAAATATCTTCAACAATGGCTTATCTCGCTGGAATGGAGGAAGCTATATATAGAAAAGAAAAATAAGAATAAATAATAAAATAAAAGAAATGATAAGAGGAGGAGAAGGACGAAGAGAAGAAACAATCTCGAGCTTCAAATATATTAGATTTTATTTACAAGCGCTTTATGAAACTTGATTTGTTTAAGTGCTCGTGTAGGGTAGCTCATGTGCTTCATTTTCCATGGATAATCAACCCCAGGGATAAAAAAGTTCAGGCGAGCGTGAGGACAGATAGAAATATAAAGAAGAAGAGGAAAATAGAAGAATAATAAGAAGAGAAGAAGAAGATAATAAGAAGAAGAAGAGAAGAATAACGGAAACATGGAAAGTTCCAAATCTATCAATTTTAATTTACAAACGCTTTATGAAAATTGCTTTTTTAACTGCTGATGTAGGGTAGCTCATGTGCTCCCCTTTCCATGGATAGTCAACCCCAGAGATAAAAAAAGTTCAGGCGCGCGCGGGGATAGCAACACCGCTTGATGTTGCTATCTCAACATACATAGCGTTTCGAGGTGATAATGAAGTTCGGCCTCAGCGCTCGCCGCCCAATTTGAATTTTGTATAGGGCGACGGTAATCAACTCTAAACACTGAAGGGGGGGGGGGTCCCTTTATTATCATCGGCATGCGGTTATTGCTCTTGGCACGTAGAATGGCTACAAGCTGACCCAATCACGAACATGGTCGACATGAGGGCAGTCTACACCGACAAGAACGACCATAAGCGAAGGCTCAACCAGACCCTGGGCGAGGTACCACCAGGTGTACGCGAAGAGCTCGTGAGAAAAGGCTTCCCGGACAAGGACGCGTTGGCGAGAACGCTGAAGACAGACGTGCCGATGCCGACACTGCCAGCAGACGTGATGGCCCTACAGTTCTTCACGACAAGCATGTCGGGCCACGTACTGGAGCAAGGCGACGTGGAGTCGGCTTTCCTGAACTCGCCCCTCTGCAAGCGCGAGGGATAGTTCCGAGTATCTCGGAAAAGACTACCCGAAGCGCCCGGCATGCAAGGACTTCAGAGCAACGAGACCATCAGGGCCAAGAGACCCGTGTATGGCTTCAACGACGCGCCCCAGGAGTGGCACTAGGAGCACGGCAACGGCATCAGGACATGCGATGAGGAGACGATTGGCCAATGTTCAACATATTTGTGGTATGGCAGCCAAGGGCTCGAGAGCCCGCTAGGCACGCACGTGGACGACGACCTCATGCAACTCAGCGACACTGCCCGGGCCAAGTACACGGAGGCCTTGAAGGTAACATGTCAATACGGCACAGGGCAGACGAATAAGTTCGTGCATACGGGATCAAGCTTTGATGGGCCCATTCTCCACCACAACTACCATATGTAGGAGAGGGGGGAGGAGGAGGAGGAGGAGGAGGAGGAGGAGGAGGAGGATAACGCACTGCCTTGCGCGGTGACCGCCAAGGCAGTGCGTTATCCTGGAGGAGGAAGAGGAGGACTATAAGGAGGAGGAGGAGGAGCACCTCCTCATCCTCCCGTCTCCCCCGACCTACACATGGTAGTGGTGGTGGAAAACTCGCCCATCGAGCTTGTCCAGAACGTCTTCGGGATTACCGCCGGCCAGAAGGACCACGTCATGACCATTCGGAAGATCGACCCGAACAAGGCGAGAAGACAGCTCCCGAAACCGAGCGAGGCGCACTGCGCGCAGGTAACGCCAGACTTGGATGGCTGAAACATTTGGACGCCCGCATTGGGTACGGAAAAGGCGGCCTTCTGTCTCACATGGACACGAGCCGCGGCGGCGCAGACAGCGAGTCCTGTTCAAAATGAACAGGGACTGCTGTTGGGCATTGTACCCACTCTTTCCGTACCCATTTCGTTCGTGCAGAAACAAGACAGGACCTGACCTACGTTTTGGAATCCAACAGTCGCAGTCTAGAGTCACTCAGGCGACGGTCGAAGACATGGCGTTTTACAACAGAAAGGTCACCAAGGCTCACCGCGATGCCGATGTTCAAATCATCAACCGAAACGTCGGAGCCAGGTCACCAGGTCACCCAGTCCATCAAAGACCCAGTGGTGTGGACAAAGGGCGACAACAACCTCATGACTGTGAAGGCAGATGATGACCCGGCACTGGTCAGCACGCAAGCAGGGCTATCGGTAGGAGTAGACCATCGAGCACCCCGCTCTGGACACGGCTCTCACGAACCTGAAGCAGGAGGTCAGGGGCGAAAGACGCGAGGCATGGGCGAGAAGGAAACGCTTTCCGACAGGCAGGACAGACGAGGAGCATCAGCCACAATCAGGGCATCTACAACCAAGAATGAAGCAAGAGAGCCACAGGTGGGAGGTTATCCAAGGAGTTCGACGAGCGCGTATCAATCCTCGCAAGCAGCCACCCAACGCGGCGACGGGTATGCCTGCAAAGATCGATGACATCGACAGGGCAAGGCGGACTACGGTGGACTACAAGGACGGTGACAACGAGATCATCGTGGACAGGTGGATCGCACCGGATGCGGTCAAACTTGTGAAGCCATGGACCAGACATACCGACTTCATCCTCCAGAAGACTGACCATGACATCGAGGACATTAACCACGAGGTCAAGAACGACGAGCTGTGTAACTTCGCACGGGCAGAACCAGCCCTGAGAGCACGAGGAAAAAGATTCAGCTCACAAGCAGGATAATCTCAAGTACAAGCTGCAGGCATAGACGCTGATGTGGGCTTCGTGCAAGAGGCTAAGGTGGTCAAGACCAACGACGAGAGAGAAAACAACACCTTCAAGCCAGACTCCGAGAGAAAGCATGACGGACAACTGAGTACCAAGAGGACAAAGGCATCATACAGAGAAGAGATCAGACAAGCTGACCAGCAGAGAACAGGACTGGAAGCAGCAGACTCAGTATAGGCTACAACGTTGATCATAATCGGATCGGCAGTGGGATGGTGTTGTGCTAAGACGTACGGAGACAACTCCGAGAGACAACCCAGACAAGAAGACAACGACGATCCCACAGGCAGATAACGAGAAGGATGAAGTTCCCAACCAGCCACAGACGAACGCGAACAAAAACAAAAATGACGGAGACGAGCCGGACGACAGCAACGGCCGCGCCAAATTCATCCATGTACGGAACGGAAGTCCCACGGCGGAGGCTACGCGAGAAGGTCCAATTCATGCAGGCGCTTCTGTGTGGGACAGTGCGCACCATGCAGGAGGTCAGGAGAGCCCCGAATCGAATCGACAAGTCGGATCGGCGATCGAAATGAATCCGATCGGCAGAAATCGGCAGTCGAGACCAGAGAAGTCGAATCGGCGGAAATCTGCAGGTTTGTAGGCCTCTATTGAAGAATCGGAGCCCAAATCGGAATCCGATATCGACTCGACTCGGAATCGGAAGCCATCGAACACGAATCGAATCGAATCGGAGAAATCGAATTAAGCCCCGTGCAGAAGGTTCGCGACAGTGTGTTCTGTGTAGGGCAGTGAGCATCACCTGGGAGACAGTGACAGCGGACAGAAGCAGCGAGCCACAGCGTGTGCGTGCCTCGCGGGTGTGAGAAGTGCCCAAGTCGCCCTGCGAATGTCCTTTCTCGCCTCGTCTTCCTCCTCCTCCTCCTCCTCCTCCTCCTCCTCCCTCCTCCCTCCTCCCTCCTCCTCCTTTTCTCCTCCTCCTCCTCCTCCCTCCTCCTCCTCCTCCACCTCCTCCTCAACCTCATTCTCCTCCTCCTCCTTCCTCCTCCTCCTCCTCCTCCTCCTCCTCCTCCACCTCAACCTCCTCCTCCTCCTCCGGTTCGAGACTCATCAGGCGCGGAGGGCCAGGTGTGTACGACGTGGCCAGGCGCGGAGAGACGGCTTGCCGGTGGCAGGCACACGGGGGCCAGGCCGCGGGGAGTGGGCCAACAAGAGGATCGATCGCGCTGCGTGCCGCGGCTTGGTCTCTTCTGCGCAGGCCCAAATTGTATGCACGATGGTGGTGCTTGGGGATTGTAGTTCTCGACCTGTGTTTCAATTCGGCGCTATACATCTTATCAGGTCGAGGGCGCTTCGCCTTCGCAGCCCAAGAAGAACCCAGAGACGTATCTGACGACATCTTGTATTAATGAGTCAGAGGTTTGCAGCAGAGTGTGAGAACAGCAGCGCATGCTCAGATTGATCCATTAGCATTTGACTCTCAGCTGAGGGTCCCTGCCTTGGTTGCGAACGACTACCATCAGATCATTCGCCACCAATTCTATGGTCAGAGTTGGCTAACGATCGTCAAGAGGCCCCAAGAGGCTCCCAAGAGGCCCCCAAGGGGCCCCGAAGAGGCCCCCAACAGGCCCCCAAGAAGCCCCCAAGAGGCTCCCCAAAGGCCTTAACACTGCCCCCAACAAGCCCCCGAGAATGCTCCGAAGAGACCCCCAAAAGCATCCCCAGAACTCTGACCAACAGCCCAGGCACGGTTGCGGGATGAACCGAAGACCATCCGACTTGAACGCAAGCAAACAAGGGACAACACTGGACAATCACGGGGCAACCGCGAGACCACCGCAAGATGACCGCGGGACGATCACGGGGCAACCACGGGACAACCACGGGACTACCACGGGACATCCAACGGCCAACAGGACAACCATCGGGACAGCCATCGGGACAACTGACGGCAAAACGATCGGGACATCCAACGGGACGACCATCGGAAACCATACACGGGGCATTGTTTGGACAACAATCGGAACAAACACAAAACAACACAGGACGATCGCAAGAAATCCTTGGGGCAACCAACGGGACAACCCTCGGGACGACCATCGGGACGACCATCGTGACAACCATCGGGACAAACACGGGACAATCAAAAAACAACCAACGAGTTTACCTCGGAACAATTGTTCCGTCGGCGGCGAGGCAGCCCGCACCAGCACCAGCGTGAGGCTAATCGGGGCGACCGAAAGGGGAATTGTCCGGCGTGCAAGAAGAAAGACAGCACACGAGGGCGGCCGCGATCTAACTCGGAACAACCACAACTTACTTATGGGACAGCCGCGGAATGGCCCAGCGCTCGCCCCCGACGTCTAAGGAGGAGGACGACGAGGAGGAGGAGGACGAGAAGGAGGACGAGAAGAACGAGGACGAGGACGAAAAGGAGAAGGAGAACGAGGAGGCCGAGGAGGGCGAGACTCCTAGGCGAGTGCGTGCGCAGTCCCACGCAGTGAGAATGAGCAACGTTCCAAGGCTGCCCTTTGCATCCTTCCCCTTCGGCCCATCCTTGGCCGCTTTCGCTGGCCGCACCCCGCCCGCGAAGTGTCAAGGGGAGGAGGGGAAGGAGGGGGAGGAAGAGTAGGAGGAGGACTAGAAGGAGGAGGGGGAGAAGGAGGAGGAGGAGGAGGAGGAGGAGGAAGAGGAGGGGGACGAGGAGGACAAAGAGGAGGAGAGGACGAAGAAAACGAGGACGAGGAATAGGGCTCCCCGCAACTGCGCCGTGCCCCGGGCCTAGAGGCTAACGGCAAGAGCTCTCGCGCTGCCTCACCTCGCCCGCACACGCGCGTCAGGAATTGACACCGTTGCCGCTTTCCCGCCTGGGGGGCCTCCCGTTTTATTTCGGCCCAGCAAGCGCGCCCGCGGGAGGAGGAGCAGGAGGAGGCGAGGAGGAGGAGGCGGACCAGCGGTATCCACTTGGTTCACCTCAGAACCTCCGCCTCCTCCGCGAGATAAGGCGGAAGAGGCACGGATGACATCTTGACTATTCCTGGGTGCAGAAGCATCCCGCATAGCTTTGCAACTAACATAGGTTCGGGACGTAGGGCAACACATGTTCGGCGAAAGGCAGGTATGCTGTCCGCGGCTGAGTTGCGAACCCGAGTTGGATTAACACTTTCTCGCAGAACCATACCAATTTCACTTGTCTTTTTTTCCACCCCAAGGCACCAGCCCCAGAAAGATATGTGTTTTGCTGCCTGCACACGCTGTGGGCGCAGGCCTCAAAAGTGCAAACAATCATGCATTGTTTACTCGGGCCCTCCAAGCCAACGGCCACGCCCCTGCGTGGCACTCCCAGAGCCAGGATTGACAGCAGCAACAGCACTTCCATGCACACGGGAGGGGGAGGAGGAGGTAGAGAACTGCACAGCGGCCTGCTCGCGCCAAGCGCGGGCGAGAAAGTGGTGACGGCGGGACGTGACCCGCAGACGAGCTTCAAAGTGTTCCTCGGGGGAACCTGGGAGCCCCTTACGACGGGCGGCGTGGGACGACAGAAAAGCATCAACACAAGCAGCAAACAACATATTAGCCGAGCGTGACGAGGGTGAAAGCAGGAGTGAGGAGGAAAGCCAGGGAAAACCCTCAGGTAAGGACGACGACGGAGGTAGGATATGTCCAAGCCAGCGAGAGAAGAGTTGAAGAAGCCGACTACAATGAGCATAGTGATCGACAGAGTCGAGGTCCACGCCGTCCGTGCACGGGCATCCCAGGAAGCACCCCATCGGCCTGGTGTGGAACCTGGCAGAGGTACAGACCGAGCGCGTGAGAACACGAAGCACGGATACTAGAAGATAAGGTTGTGTTTTTTTGGACCAGGAAAAAGGCGTTGATATAGAAACGATCAATATGAGTCTGTTGGACCAGGGGAAACCATTGCCGAATACGACGGATCAGAATACATTGAAAGCTTCCCCTCGGAGGTGAGTTGGACCAGAGCATCTTATACAGAGACTGCTGCAACTTCGGGTTCACATCGGGAAGCCTGCGCAACCTGTCCAGAAGCACGGGGCCTGGTGGGCAACGTGGTAGAGCATAGTACCAATGATAAAGACCACGCATGTATGTGAGAAAAGATGTTGCCCACCAGCCACAGCGCATGCGGGCGAAAACGTGATCGGGCTCGTCTTCTAGGACCTCGAGGTGGCAGACGAGCGCGCCAAAAGAGTCATGTTGGATAATATAACGAAGACAAACAGCACGAGAGAGTGTGACAATATCTTGAAACTCGATAGGCAGATGCATATCAGACAGTTGAGTACACATAGCATAAGATAAGGCATTACGAGGCCCAGCCGTAAGACACATCACAGCTTCTTTGTATACATGAACGAGATGGGCAGATACAGCATGAATTTGCATGATGAAGGTGAGCGTGGAGACGCACATGACACGGAATGCAAGAGCAGAGCGGGTGAGGCCAAGACGTAGCTGACGGGTCGCCCTGACACGGCGTTGAAACTTCGGAGCAGCTTCTGACCATGCAAGTGGAGTCGCTCCTGGGCCAATAAATATGCCTAGGTATTTGACCGCATTCAGGACTTGGATGAGCTTGTAATCTCCTTTGAGCACCCGAACAGAGTCCCTCGGGAGGTCCACATTAAGGGAGCCGACGACCAGGATCTGACACTTTTTGAAGTTAAGCTTGAGGCCAGCAACTTTTTCGAGCCGCGTCATTAGGGCGAGGAGGGGGCCCATGGATCGAAGAACATCAGGTAAACCAAAACAGAAATCGTCGGCATAGTCGAAGGTCCTGTCGATGTGCGATGAGGCTTTGAAGCGAATCCACCTTAAAAGCGGATCTGCGGCAAGAACAAACAAGAGCATACTGCTAGGACAACCTTGCTTGACACCACTAGCCATGCTAAACTCGCCATGCGTGCGGCCACCCAGGGAGATAATAGCAATGTTATTCTGGTAAAGCATGTGGAAGAACTTACACACGTACGGGCAAACACGCATGCGCGAGAGAATATGAAGCATCCAAGGAATTGCTAAAGACGGAAACGCAGCACAAATGTCAGTCATGAAAAGGGCGGCGTTCGGGCGACCAGCACGCGCTGCTCAAGCCCCCAGCCCTCAGCGTCAACAATATTGGTCAGCATGTCTCTGCCAGCAACGCATTTTTGATCGGTCGATATGGTGCGTTTGGTGTTTACGGCGAGCGGCAACGTAATGGCACCAGCGAGCAGTTTGATATCAGCGTTCGACATGCTGAGCGGGCGCGTGCAGCTGGGGTGCCGACTAATGGAGTCGCCCTTGTCCCTGGGATCTGTACCTTTGGGGAGGAAGACCATGAGGCTCCGCCTCATCTCAACTGGCAGCTCAGTCACGTCATCTGTGAACAAGGTGAGGTGTACATCATGCAAGATACGGGCAGCTTCAGGAACCTTCCAAGCCCCACACGGAAGACCATCCTCTCCAGGCATACTATGTATACGCGCACGTATGTAGTCGTACCATTCACCATAGGATAGAATCCAGGAGCAAGGGAGGGGTTCAGGAATACTCTGAGTGAACGCATCGATCTCAGGCCAAAGGGACCGATCAAGCGGAGGGGGGGGGAACACAGACGACCAGTAGTCTTTGAGGGCCTCGGCGGAGTGGTCGATAGACCTGCACGGCATCCCAGAGTTATCATATATGCAAGACAGGTATGTGCGGCTCTTGAACTTGCGCCATAGCTCTTGCCTACGGGCGATGCGCTGCTTGTGAGATGTTTTGACTTCCGATGGGGCATCGGCCCAGAAAGACGAGAACTCAAGGTCATGCGATTCCTGGTCAAGCAACTGCATCTCGATAGAGCGAATGAGCGCGCGTCGGCCATCAATACGAGTGCACTGGAAAGAGACGAGGCATAAATGAGACTGCAGCACGGGATAGCAGCGCAGAGCACGGTGAATGAGCCAAACTTTGCCCAGGCGCCAGCCACGGAGCGCCTGAAGGGCCCGGTACTGCTTAAGCTCGAGAGCGTCAGCAATCGCGTGCTTGACAAAGTCGCGGACGTGGGCAGACGCGACAAACATCAGCTCCTTGAGCTGCGTGAGACCTTCCCATGGGCCTAACTCATTCGACATTTCAGCTATGGCGGCCTCCAGGAAGCGGGACAACTCCGGGTGCTTGAGGATCCACTTGGCGATACTTTTGTGGCCGTCAGTGGGCCGATACGGTTCAATGCTGACTACGATCGGGAGGTGATCGCTTTCCATCTTGGCTTTTAGACGGCCCAGGACACCACAGCGAATGTCTAGGTCACGTAGCATGGCCTGAGGAAGAGATGAATACACTCTGCCGAGGCGCGCGGTGCTTTTGACGACCCCGTCCCTGACCTCCCTCCTCGTGTCCTGCTCCTGGTAAAACTCGGTGACGTATGGGAAATGACGCTGAAAAAGACGGGAGTGAGCACGGTCCCCAGGTTTCCAGCCAGAACCATCAGCTTGCATGCGACCTTCCTCGACTAAAGCGAAATTGAAATCACCGGTAAGCACGCGGTGGTCATGAGGGAACCTCTGGAACTCAGCGCGCAATATCTGGAGCGCACGCGAATAAGTGTTGAGCGAGTCGCTCGCGCTGGGGAGGTGAAGGTTGAAGATGCTGAGGGAGCCAGCAGGACCAGAGAGACGACTATGGAGAATACGACCAGTGATGACAGGGTGGTGCTCGACAGAGGTAAATTGACGGCAGAGCTGAGGACTCAATATCGTCGCAATTCCCCCCCCCTCTGCGAGTCAGGAAAGAAAGATGATCCAATAGAGTAGCAAGCACTGTCCGTGTCCAGCTCGCGGCGGAGCTCTCCGATATCGCCGATGTGACCGTGGGTTTCTTGACAACACATTATTTCGCACCTTTGGGAGAGACGGAGGATGAGGTTGAAGCGAGCGCTGGCACGCCAGGAGGAGTGCTTGACAGAACTGAACAGGGCGTGCGCATTCCAAGAGCAGACAGACAGGCGAGTGCTAGGGATGAAGGGAAGAATATTCGGGGAAGGGGAAAAGTCAGAGGCCTCGTCACGCTCAGGCAGGGAGACATGGGGCAGAGGGCCTGAAAGGCCACTAGTGGCGTGTGTGCAGAGAGGAGCCGAAGTGCGATCAGTCTCAGCGTCTGAAGGGACGCCTGATCTGTACCTGTGCTGCAGCACAGATGGCCTCAGCCTGGGCCTCCAGCCCAAACTGGCGAATCCCCGCCATGTCGAGCTCAACCTTGGCCTCCAGCGTGTCTTCGTTCACCTCGATGTGAGCGAGCTCGACGGCCTCATGCTCTGATTTGTGTGCGAAAACGATGCCCCCAAGCCCATTGCTGCCCACTTCGATAAAGCGAGCCGCCAACTGCTGGGTGATGAGGGAACGAACGCGGCCCATGGAGAGGAAGAGCTGGCGAGCCTTCAAGTCCTGGTCACGCTTGATGCGAATGTTCAGCATGTTCTGAGGAGCGAGGGGGTCGGGGACACGAAATACACCGTCACGGGTGAAATTGGCGAGGAAATTGGAAGCATCTGCAGCCTGCTCGAAATCAAAGGTAATCTTCTTTGCCATGTCGAAACATTTAACATTGATGCGAGTCTGGACGTCCATGGGCGCATACTGGGCCTTGATGGCGTCTCCAATGGTCTTCAGCGAGCGGGCGAGCATCTTCCTTGGAAAACCGACGGCGATGAGTTTGCAGGTGTTCTCTTTCTGCAGAAGTCGGGAGGAAGATCTGTGTGAGCGATCCGAGCTGCTTGCTGTCGAAGGTGGCGTTGACAGAGAGCGGAGCTGCTTCTGAATGTTATCAATCTGCGACTGGACATGTTTGTGCGCGGCATCGGAGTCGTCCTCCATGTTAAAGTGAGGAACATTCGTGCGAGCTTCCTGTGCCGTCAACTCGTTCTTGATCTGCTCCGATACGTGTGCTTTCAGGGAGTCGAAGCGTCCATTCAGGTCCATGTACATAGAGGACTGTTGGCCTTCGATTTGAGCAATCTTGTTCTGAATGTCCGTCGTGAGGGTGTTCATGTTGATGGTGAGCTGGTCGCAACGCTGCGTCTGGGCCGAGATCTGATTCTTGATCAAGCCAATGTCATAGGACTGCGTGGACAGGGCCGAACCAAAACCACGGAGAGTACGAAGAACTTCATCTAACTTCTCATCGTTCGACGGTCTGGATGTGCGTGGGCGTGCAGGAGCATCGGAGCGGCTGCGTGACGATTCACTCCGACGGCGACTGCTGATCGTTTGCGCAGAGGGCGATCTCGACGAGTGACGGCTCTGCGAGCGGCGAGTCACGGAGCGTCGATCACCAGGCATCACGGCCGCTGTGCAGTGAGAAGGGGAAAGAAGAAGGGAGTAGATGAGGGTGCAAACGCTGCTGGGTCCTGGCCAGGGCGGGCTACCTGTGGACCAGCGGATAGTGCTGTTCCTGCCCAGCTGGCTTGGTAGATGTCGTACTTGAGCCAAAATGGCTACGGATACCAATTTCACTTGTCTGGGTACCTGTTCGAGGCCGGTATCGAAAAGGAAGGAACTTAGCGGGTCACCCTTTTTGACGCTCCGCTCGACGCTCCATGCCCAGCTGGCGGTGTCCGTTCTGACTGGTGCCTTGTAGTCATGGTGCAGCTGCTTCAAGAGACTGATGCAGGTTGGTGGTATGTGCTGCTGCCGGAGGACCTCACACATAGGCGCTCGATATCTGCAGAATCAAACACCTTCATCTATCAGTGCCGTGGTGACGGCGACCTGGGCGCCGCTTAGTCGGGGGCGAGAAACGGGGGAAGCACTGTGCACGTCTCGGGCCCCTCCCTCTCGGGCCCCACAAGGCCCCGCTAGGGGCTCTAGATGGCCTCTTTTCTGCAACCATCGCTCCCCCACCCCTATATTGATCGCCCCCCATTGCGCGACGCCCAATCGCTGCCGTCGAAGGGCGGGCCGGGAATCGAGGGCGTGCGGGCATCGGGCGCCGTTCTGCTCAGGTGGGCCTCTGGGAGGTTCTCCGTCGCCACAGCCGGGCTTCCCTTCGAGCACATGCGAAGCCCAAGGCGACGACCTCCAGAGGCCTCCGAGAAGCCCCCACGAGATGCCAACCCAGGGCCTCAGAGGGCATGACGGGGGCCTCTTCAAACGCGCCAAAAAAAACCGACGTCGACGGCGACGACCAAGAGGACGACTGCGGCGGCGGCGATTCGGAGGCGACGATCGGGGCTACGAATAACAAGGGCTATGCCCACCCCTTTCCCAGTTTTCGGGGGGCTTCGGATGGACCAGGAACTTGGGGTCCCCGCCTGGGATGCACGATGGGGGACGTCCATCCTCGAAAGGGGTGCGTCCGATCAGCCCCTTGGGGTGTACCCCAGGGCTTCCCTCCTCCCCTGAGCGGTTCCGTGTGTCGTCGAAGCGTCGGGGGCGTGGGGAGAAAGAGTCGCCTTCGAGGCGGGGAGCCCAGGAGGGGGCATCACTACAGTCAGCCCGTATAAGAAGGATGCGCGGTAAGGGTGCAACGGCCTTCTCCCGCCCTCCTCCTTCCTCCTTCCTCACTCCTCCCTCCTCCCTCCTCCCTCCTCCTTCCTCCGTCTTCCTTCCAATTTCATCCTTTCCTCCTGGCTCCCACCTCCTTCCTCATTCCTTCTCCCTCCTTCCTCCTTCCCCCTTCCTCCTCCCTCCTCCCTCCTCCCCCCTCCATCTTCCCACCTCCCTCCTCCCTCCTCCCTCCTCCCTCCGCCCTCCTCCCTCCTCCTCTTCCTCCAACCTCCCCCCTCATTCCTCCTCCTCCCTCCTACCTCCTCCCTCCTCTCTCCTCCGTCCGCCCTCCTCCGTCCGCCCTCCTTCCTCC